TACTTGATTATTTCCTCAGATAATAATAATCTCTCTGCAAAAAAGATGGGATTTTAACCAAAAGCTGTACATACACTAAATTCTCTCAATCTGGCAAAACAAATACATTCTATAAAGGGTCTCTCCAGATCAACCCCCATCCCCAATAAAGATGTCTCTGATGACACAGCATCTCATGTCATCCAAACTGAAGCAGAAGCTGCTTCAAGTCTCTGCCTCTCAAATAGAGCGGAGCCTATGCCTGTGTTACTGCCTCTGGAACAAAGAACATAAAACGGGAAACGGAGGCAGATGAGCACTGTTCCCCTTTCCCCAATTTCCTTTATCCACAGCAGATTTGTTCTTGTCTTAGTAAGAGAAATTTTAAACACATAGAGACATTCAGGTTATTGGAACTCTGGGCAGACAGTAAGAAGGATATGAGTAGAGACCAAGGGTATGACTAGAGAATGATCCCAAACCATCTAATTAGGTATCAAATACTGCAGGAATTCAAAGAATGAAAATCTTTGAGGGCTGGGAAAAATCAGAAGTCTTCATAATAGGGGCAGGCTTCTAACTAGCCTTTAAAGGAAACACAGGGTTTGGGTAAGCTGAAGAGGAACTGTCAGCCCACCCCCACAAGGCGGGGCACGACCATCTCAGGTGTTCCCAGCAAGGGTCAGACCCTGTTCAGTCTCTTTAAGGGGTCACAGAAGCTTTCCTCCTGGGGTTGAATAGAGGTGGTGGGAATCCCTGCACAGTTCTCTCCAAAAAAAGTTCTCCCAGTCTGCGTACACTCTGACTTTTTTACACCCTGGATGGGAGTGAGGGGTTCAAGAGTCCTGCTACCAGTTTTCAGCAAATTTGAAAACGTTCATCTCAGACTGCTTGCTTCCTTTGGAATGGCAGATTTTCAAGGGAGGATTTTCATTTTGCTTATACTAGGGCGCTGGCCATTGGCATACGATGTTTCATGAAAAAAATGTGTAAGGCAAAGATACGGGTTAGAACCCTGTACAGCCTTTAGACTTCACCGTCGACCTCAGTAAGTCTCTCCTTGGTCCCACATGCTGCACAACATAATGATTAGGTCTCACCATGTACGTATGAAGGCACCAAAAAGTTAAAAACATCAATAAATAAAGATGCAACTCAGTGGGCCTGTGAAGTCTTACCAGGCTGTCCCGCCCTTTCTATCCGCGGCCCTCTCCCCTCTCATTGGTATGCTTCTCATGAGGCACCTCCCAACCACACGCTGTGCTGAGCCAAGGGAGCTGACCATTTTGAATAATGGAATGTGAGAGTCAACAGAGAACAAGGATCATCAAATAGAAATCCTGGGGGTCAAAAGATACAAACTTCCAGTTATAAAATAAATGTCAGAGGGATAGAATGTACTGCATAGGGACTAGAGTTAATAATACTGCATGGCATATTCAAAAGATGCTGAGAGATCTTAAAATTTCTCATTAAAGAAAAACATTCTGTAACTATGCAAGGTGACTGATGTAGTTTTAACTAGACTTTGTTGTGATTATTCTGCAGTTCTTACAAATATCGAATCACTATGCTGTGCAACTGGAACTGATATCATGTTTGTATCAACTATACCTCAATTTTAAAAAAA